AACATGGTGGGGGTGATTCTTTTGTTGATGGAGGGTTCTCAAACTGGAAAAAGAAAGGAAAGCTTCAAACTCATGTTGGGAAAAGTGGTAGTGCACACAACCAAGTGCGGATTAAGTATGATGCTTTTGTGAATCAAAAACAAAATATTGATTGTGTTCTCTTTAAGAAGTCGAAAAGAATGAAAGATAAGTATCGAATTCGTCTGAATGCGTCAATTGATTGCGTTCAATTGCTTCTACAACAAGGGCTTGCATTTCGTGGACATGACATGTAGTTCTAAATATTTTTGAATTTTCATTTTTGACCCCACAAGACAAATGGTCTGGATCCGCCCTGCTTGGGAGGGACATGGTTTTGATTTCTTTCTTAAGATGTTATATATTGTTTTCAAGGATCTCTGAAGTCTTATCTGGTACTAAGCTTGCATCACACATCTCTTGATTCAGTGTGATGACTGCGAATTAGAATTTAAAAATCCATTATTTTTATGCCCTTACTGAAGCTAGACTATTCTTGCTATATATATTACGATCATTAATGTAACAATTTCAGTGCTGTGCAAGAAATTCATTTGTACTTCTACCATTGATGGCTTATTTTCCTGGTGTCTGGATGATTTATTTCCTTTATTGGTTTAAACGTTTTTTTTTTTGGGATCTCTGCATAATTGTCATAAGTTATTCAGTCATCTGTTTGTGTTGTAGTGCTCATGGGATTGTAAGCCTACTCCTCCAGGGACCAATTCGACCCCTCTACCTCCACCAGCTGTGACACACATGCAAGGCTTCTCTGCCGCTGATCTTATTGCCTATGAACGGCAGCTTGCTTTGAGTAAAATGGGTGGTGCACAGGCTCTTATGCTCCCACAGAGTCAGCGAATTGGCACAGCTACTCAGGCAATCTATGATGGTGGATATCCAAGCCTAGCCACAACCCAGCCACCCATGTATTATTAGAAACAAGTACCAGGTAGAAAAGTCCCGTTAGTTTTGAGCTTATAATTCCTTTTGAGGAATTTGGTGCACTAATTTGGTAGCTATCTGTCTAAAATTTTATAGTTGTCACTGACTTTATGCTTAACAATTTATCGTTCGTGGTATTGATATTCAAGTTTTTGCAAATTAATGATAAACTAAGAGATATCAATGAAAGTTGTACATTATTAACGACTCTTATTTGAAGTTTTTATTCATTGGAATGTTGGATCGTTTTATTGAAAAGGACCATTTCTAAATCAAGTTGAGTTTGTTTAGTGAGCTTTCTTGCCTCCCACTTTATCCTATTTGCTGAAATTACTTGGTAGGACTCTCTTGAATGAGTGGCTACGACAAAGAGTATGATTTTCATCATTAGAAAAGATCATCGGTGAGGACACGGTTTAAGGAAAGTTGATTGTTAATTCAAAGTTTAATGGAGTTATGATGCATTTTAATGCACTGGATAATAAGTAAAGAGATTCAGTACTAGATTAATGATGAATAACATCATTCTATTTAAAATGGGATTTTTGCTGCATTCACATTTGTTTGGGGCTGAAGTTAAGACCAGAAGCGTATTTGGTTTAGTTTCAAAGAAGTAAGATCTACTCAAAAAGTTTATCTTGCGACAAATAATTTAGAAAGTACGTCTCTTTTACTAATAAAATTTACTAGCAATTAAGTCTTAAATTTAGCCAATCATACTTCATTGAAATCCATGTTGAAGTCACTTCTAATTGTAGTTATTGCAATCGAGTGTTTACATGTACGGATGATTATGAGTCAAGAACAGCTATCCCTTGATAGAGTCTCACAAAAATTTTGAGGTGTGGAAAATTCACAAACCTCATTACAATTTTTGAGGTGCCAGCTTAGCAATTGTGACATTAAAATTGTAGTAGTATATCAAAATTTTAGTGGAGGGATCACGTTTAAAGAACAACTCTACGAGGAGAACACATTCAGACTAAACATGTTAAGGATCTTAGAAAAAAATTGCCCCAACATTAGACAACCTTCTTTAGCTAAAAACAAAAAGAGGGGTTGGTCTTGGAAAACGAAAAGCAGTTGCCTTAATACCAAAGACCACCCTCTCCAAGAAAATAAAAGAATTGTCACTAGGGGCCATTGCAGTCCACTTCAGCCCTTGATAGAAATCCACGTTGAAGTCACATCTAATTGTAGTTATTGCAATTGAGTATTTACATGTATGGATGATTGTGAGTCTAGAACAGCTATCCCTTTGTAGAGTCTCACAAAATTTTTGAGTTGTGGAAAATTCACAAACCTCATTACAATTTTTGAGGTTGCAATTGTGACATTAAAATTGTAGTAGTATATCAAAATTTTAGTGCATGGATCACGTTTAAAAACAGCTCTACGAGAAGAACACATTCCGACTCAACATGTTAAGGATCTTAGAAAAAAATTGCCCCGACATTAGATAACCTTCAAAAAGAAAAAACAAAAAAAACAAAAATGGGGGTTGGTCTTCGAAAACAAAAAACAATTGTCTTAATACCACAGACCACCCTCTCCAAGAAAATAAATGAATTGTCAACAGAACACCTATCCCACGTATGAAACCTTAAAAACTTTTGTATATTTTATATTGTAGATGTTTGACAATTGGGTTTGGGCCTCAAGAGGTACCACTAATTTTTGAAAGGGAGAGAGATAGATTCTATTGGGTTTGGTCATATGCCTACAGATTCTATTGGGTTTGGTCATATGCCTACACACGCATGCCTATGCCGTCGGCACGGCACGGTAAGAACACGGGTCCGATTCGGTTCGTCTGCAGTTGTGAATGGGTTCTTATACGTATGCTAACAGACCTTAACATATGCAGTGTTATAGTTTGAATTGGGCTATTTGTTTGTTTTTGGAGAGCTAAATAGTCACCACTATTAGAAAAGATTTGTTGAGTGCTAGAATGACCATGAATAAATTTATAAATAGCTTGTCTTGCTGCAAGAAAATTTATATAATTTTCAATTCAAATATTATTTACTTTGAATCTCATTTCCCTCTTTTATTTAAATATTATTATTCGAAATATAAAACACTTTATTGAGTTCGTTGAAACTCTTGTTGATTGTTGTGCTGCTTCTGTAGGATACGAAATTCGCTCTATTCTGAGAGACGGTTGCGTAAAGCTTTTAAGCATTATAAAAGACAGCAAATTTATTTTAAGGACACATCATAAAGTTGGTGGGACGAATTAACATTCTGCTCTTGTTGATCATCATGTTACGCTGTTCAAATCCATTCAAGTGAATCTATAAGTGTATCTTCAAATAATTCAAAGGAGGCAATTATACTCCTGAAACAATATTATTTACCCCCCGTTTTTTTGGATATGGATTCGTTCAAGTGGAGAGGAGGAAGTGAATTTTATAGAATGACTATGAGCTCTTGACTGACAGGCTTGTGCTATTGTCAATACCAAATCTGATTGCTAATTAATTTCAGGTTAATTACTTAAAAATATGCCTTAATAATAAAAATTGATCATCAGAATTCAGTAAGTTGAATACAGCCAAATTTACTTGCTATTAAGAAGTCTTGAGGACTTTGTTGTGGGGATGGATGCACTCATAACTTGGATCATCAAAGTTCAAAAATTCTCACTGAGGCATAAAGTTTAGCCCGAGCAAAACTTAGTAAAAAGGAGCTGTTTCTCATATGCAGTATTTATATACCGTAGTAACAATTTTATTTTGGCTATATTGCCCGAATTCCCTTAGAAAGAATCTCGGTATTGGTGTAAGGCGAGCTTGAAATATCGACTGATCTTGAGGTCTCATAGCCGCATTTTTCTTTGCACTCGTCCGTCACTATTTGCTTATATCTACACTCTGTGCTGCAGAATGCTTTTTCTCCCCTGCAAATCATGGATCAATAGTACTTTCAAGAATCTGTATTGGTCTATAAAATGAATTTTACACAAAACATTGCACTTGAATTTTACCTGTACATGTATATGTCTTTTCCATGGAGTTTTTTGTTACACAAATGGCATGAACTAAGAAAATCCGTATCCAGAAAACCCATAATATCTCCAGATTTTGCGGTCGAAGATAGGTGAAAAACACTAGGGCGGGTGCTCTTTATACTTTGTTGTATTCTAAAGGGGATCGAATCGTCGCCCCTTGTGCCATTGCAATACACTCGAGTGTAGGACTTGTTTGGATCATGACAAGTCACAATAGTGTAATCCTCCATAGTATCCACCTCCATTTCCTCAAAACCTCTACTAATTCTTGAACAATTCTTGACCGGAATAGGGTTGGATTTGCTCGAATTCCAGCTGCACATAGCCTTGTTGGCCGAAATTTCACTGAATACAAACTCTCCGGATTTTTCAAGGGCGGCCACTATGCCTAGTCCCACCCCACCAACATCATAATTCTTTAGCCCACTTGGGGAGTGAATCTTGGCATCAAAAACACTTGTTGGACTAGTGGCAAAATCCTCTACCACGGATGGACTAGTGGCAAAATCCTCTACCTCGGCCCGATTGCCGGAGACCAATGATCCGGTAAGGATTCCAACGGCCATCTTCGATTTTATGCCTAACATAGCTATATAAGATTTCTAAGCAGAGTATTGGGAGCTGGTAGTTTTCTCAGCTCTCTCAATTCAGTTCTGGAAGAGGGCTCTTTATGAAGCTTTCCAATTTATGGTTGATGGAGTTGTTAGACTAAGCCCATGGTTTGGTGTGAAATGATGTATTGATGGTTTCATTTTCATAGGTAAATAATTGAACCAACTTTATTCTATTATTAAAATGGATTCCAAAGTCATTTTTTAAAGTGTTAATTTCATAAACAGTCATTGAAGTTTAACTGAAATTTCAACCATTATTACGAAAGTTTAACTGAAATTTCATAAACTGTCATTGAAGTTTAACTTAAAGTATTTTATTCTTTTTGAATCACCCATTCAGTTAGGTTTCATACTCGATCTAGAGTGGCTTTGTCAAACCTTGACTTTGACTTAAGCTTGTTGCATCTAGATCGTCAAATTATAGATTTGCAAACTAAAATGCGATTCTCGAAAGAGAAAATCACATGCTTAACAAAAAAGTCTTAATTATATAATTATATAGAAAATTATAAATTTGCAAACTATAATGCAATTCTCGAAAGAGAAACCACTTGGAAGTCATAATTTTAACCATTATTACGAAAGTCGGAACAAAACTGAAATGATAGGGCAGTTGGAAGCAGTTGCCAAAATGTAATTTTTTTTTTTTCTCTCGCTTGTGCGATTTCTTTCCTTAAAAGGCTCAAATTTTAAATCACTAATTAATTTTTTTCTTCTCCACTATCTAGGATTTGTCAATTTTATCAAAATTAATTTTTATTCTTCTGCTACGTTAGGGCGTTAAATAGGGTAAAGTGGATAACTGAACCTTCGTAACATTATTTAACTTTAATGGGTCAAAAAATACTCTTTAAGAATTAATTTGAAAATTTTCTTGAACTTGAGTGGCCAGTGTTGTATTAAAATTATATTTTCAAAATGTCACTTATCAATGGATAATATTTTAAGAAACGTCCATGTCCAATGATTGGGACCTGATCCCTACGTGTTGGCCCACATGCCATTTATGACTCAGCCAAGATTCCGGGGAATTAACGTCGTAGGATATTAGGTAACGTGTCCATTGATTAGAGGGTGTAATTATATATAGGCCCAACTAATGGGCCCATTATTTAATTTTCAGACTAAGCCCAATTGCAGTGGGTCCCATACGATTTTTCAAAACAGAAAGCGATATATGAATTATGGGGCCTCTGAATTATCAATATCACTCGTGGAGTAGTGGAGTTCAGCGTGAAATTAAAGGTGTACCCCACCCTATGTGCCACTTCGCTTTTTACCAAATCTTTGGCATAAAAATAAAAAAAAGGTAAAACGTAGCTAGAGGTGTCAATCCGGGTGGTCCGGGCCGGGTCGGCCCGCCAACATGTGAGCCCGGGAACGGCCCGCGTGAAAAAAAGCCCGCCCGCTGCGGGTTCCGGGTCGGCCCACAATTTTGGACTATAACCCAGGCCCGCCCGCTGACCCATCCGGGTCGAGCCCATGCGGGTCACGGGTC